CTCCTCTGCAGCCCTCTACTGTAGTGCTGTCAGCAAAGGCATGGGTAAAACTGATGGGCGGGATGGTCAGTTTTTGCAGGAGGGTTATGGGTACAGACCAGAGCCGAGAGAAATCTCAGGTGTTCTCACACACGGCCCTGAAACCTAGGCAGGATGTGACATGAAGGCATGAATAAACCTGGCCCCACATTCACAGCTGGCACAGAGCAGCCTTCACCAGGGTACCCAGTGTAAGTACCCTAAACTACCCCACATTCACAAGAAGCAGAGAATCCATACTGCTTGGCGCACAAAGCATACAACACCACATCCTCTGCAGAGGGGCCCAACGATGCCCTCGGGTCAGCCAACAGCCCTACACCAGCGCCAGCACAGACCAACAACAGTGTGTCCTCTCTGAGGGTCTCTAGACTAGGCTTAATTTTAAAGACTATTTCCCCAGTGTCGATAAAATGGATCGATGGTATTTGCCTAAAATAATTACATATTATACCTGAAAACTATTTGCTATAAGTAACAGCTGAATAGCCATACTTATGTAACTCCAGGAAGCCAAAAATTGTATGTACTTCCTCCTGCTGTAAGAATGAGGGCAACTCAAGCATCCACATAGAATTCCCATAAAAAGAACAAACCCCACGGAATAGTAAAGGAATAGCTTCAATTACTGATCTGTGAATATACAATTAGGTGGGAATTACTCTATAAGGAATTCCTTGATGTTATACTGAATCAGAATTACTAATTTCAGTGATTTTCTTTGTTAGTATTCTTAGACTCCATGATTATTTCTAGATAGCAGATTATCTCCAGAATGCTTAAGACTTAGGTTTCTATAAAAAGGAATTTTACTGTTGTCAGTAAAAGAGCTAAATTTTCCTTTTAGAGAAGTGAATGGTTGTCTTCCATCAATCCTACTGAGTGTTTTCCAAAAAGGACTGACATGTGATAATGCCACAAACTATGTGTTCAGTTAGAATCTATGCTCACTAAAGGAAAGAACAGCATTTCACACTTTTTGGCCCTCTTTATAGTGTCGAGTTCAACAAACACAAAACCAAGGTTTTCCAAAAGTGCCAGTGGGAAGCATTGATCACGGCTCAAAACATTCTAACTGTATTCTGGGACTCAATACCCCTTAATGATCCCTGACTCGTACAGGAACAAAATTCTCAGCAGAAACCAAGTCAGAGTGACTGAGCCAATCTACAGAAGAAGACAGGGTTAGAGGGTTACACTGGGCTCTGTGGGCTGCAGTGAGTGGAGATTCACTCGATGTAAGCCCAAGTAAGGGTGCCTTACTGAGCAGGAGCCACAGAATAAGCCAAGAAACTGTGCAGAGAAGAGCTGGCTCAGCAACGCACTTCCCTCGCAGCCCCTGCGCTCAGACCTAATGTGTGAGCTTGAGCATGACTGTCCCAGTCTTGCTACCCTCACTGTGGCAACTCTTGATTCAGCCTTTCAGCTCTGCCCCTCTACTAACTGCCTCAGATTCGCAAATTAAATCAGAGGGGAGGTGTTAAACTGGGAAGTGAACCCTGGGCCTTTGTGCTTGGCTACACTCCCCAGCCCATTTTTGAACTTGAGATGGGGTCTTGTTAAGTCACTATGTTGCCCATGCTAGGTTTGAACTCGAAGTCCTCCTGTCTCAGCCTCCCAAAGGACTGAGATTATAGGTCTGTGCCACTCTACCCAGCTCCAAATCTAAATTCTTAAAAAGAAAACTGGCTTCAATTAATCTTTTCAAGCCAGAACAATATCCCATATTATTGCTGCTTTAAAGAGCTATTTTGCCAGCTATTTTCTCATTATGAGATAGGTACACAATCTATGTTGCCAAGCAGATTTACTTAACTGACATTCCTCCTTTCTTCCTGCTTCTCATTAAGCACGCACTGCCCAGCTAACCTCTGCAACTAGTCTGAGGACTGCTTGTGACTCTTTCCTCCATAGATTACTTATCAGTGTACTCAAACAAAACCAGAGCTCTCGGTTTGGAAGAAAGACCAATCAGATGAGTATTTCCTTAGAGAATGAAAGCTTCCTAATGGAACACATAATTCACTTGCCTCGAAAATGTTAACCTTTAAAAACCTCTGCTGGGTTAGGAACTTAATTACTCTGTACTAGCGTAGCCTCCACCTACCTTGTGGAAGTGTATACTATAAATAAATACTAGCAGTGCGGGACAGTAGTGGCCTTATGAGTTCTCATGGGTCGACATCAATAGAACACAGCCATAGTACCTTCCTGTGGAAAAGACGATCACATGACCTGTCAACCAAACGCGGACATTTCTGAACGTGAACGGGCAGACGGTTTAAACAGTCTCGCTGGATCAAAGACGTAAGCCAGGACACAGAGGTGGCTCTTTTACACCATGGACTCAGACTCTAAGGGAAGTTAGAGGCGGGGCCCCCACTTTAAATGTAGACTCTCCACAGACCAGTTCCTGCAAAGTTGCCCAGGGCCTCCGAGCTCAATCAGTGGCATCCACAGCTTGAGGGAGATGTCTCCCACACCACTTGTCATTCATTAGCTCTGCAGCCCTCAACACTATCATCATCTTACCTCACAGCAACCTCAACTATGATGAGTCCCATGAAGCACATCACCCAGTGCTTTCACAGTCCCCAAATATGCCTTGTCTCTAATATCCACCACGGAGAAATGGTCAGCTTTGATTTCTGGTATAAACAAAGAAATACCTCTCAGTTACAATCCCAAAGTAACATTTTGGTTTCACAAGAGCTAAAAGGATAAAATATGTAATTATACAGCATTTCAAAGCTATTGGGTTTTTCTTTCCATTTTTCACTGCTGCACTTGCCACATCACTTGCTGCAGGCAAAACCAAGTCCAATTTCTTCTTTTTAAAATCTTGTGGAGAAACAAAGCATATTTCCTTCTGCTCATCTTTTCCCCTATTGCTTGGATAAACTAGACAGGAAAAAATCTTGATTATTCTCATGTATTTGGTTATTTTTTTTCATAAGAAGCAAAGAGAAGGGAAAACTACATTTTTTCCACAAGCAGGTATTTCATCATACCCATTATTCTTACACAACTAGAAGAATGTACTCTGTACAGAACCTCAAACAAAAACACACATAGCAGTGTGCGACTTAGAAAAAGGTGTGTGCTTCACCGTGCTTCGCCTCCCCACTTGTTTCTGAGCACAGCTTTAATGTGCTATACTAGACCAATACTGACAACAGAAACTTCGGCTTTTATTGCCGTTAATATCCTGAGCAATTACTGTAACTCAACAGGAAACTCTGCCCAGAACAGCAACCATCACAGTACGATCAACACTGCATAAGAAATGCTGTTCAAACATGAAGGCTCCTGCTAATATACCCTCCCCCCAAAAAAACACCCAAAACTGTACAAGGGGCTTGGAATCTAATAGGTAAAAGAAAAATCTTTGCAATTTTATTTCACGGCTATATACTTTCCGTGGTGCACTGGCATCAGTAAAAGTCACACACATATGTAAGCAGGGAAAAAGCAGCAAGAGCAGCCACAACCAAAATTAACTCTTCAGGAAACAAGGCCACCTCCCAAATTCTCAGGTGTCAGTGCAGAATCTGTAAAAAAAATCTTTGTAAGGAAAGATATAAAAAAGAGCAAAGACCTCTAAACATGTTAAAAATTCATACTGGAATGAAAACTGAACATAAAGCATTAGGTTTACAAGATTAAACTGCAAGGCTATTGTGCAAAAACGGCTAGGGACATTATCAGCAGCCTACCAAGAACAAATCACTCTGAGAACCAAGTGGCACTGCTGACTCTCCTTTCAAACAGTAGGAATGTGTTACTTATGCAGTAATGTTTTAACAAGGAAAAATAACAATCTGTTAACTAGCTGAGTCATAATATACAAACTGGCTGTCTAGAGCCACTAGAAATGATAAAAAGAGACAAAGAAGGTGCAGAATTAAAGATCTCTGCAGGCTACACTACTTTTCTTTACACCAAAATACCATATACAGTATTTTCCAGAACACAAATATTGTCGATTTACAAAGAGTTTTGAAAATGGGACAATCACAGATATTGACACACATTCTCTACAAAGCTAAAGAATTAGAATTTATTTATACTTCAAAGAGTATAGACAATGATTCACAGTAACAATCCTATCTTAAGATCAAAATGCTTCAGAAGATTCCCAAATCATACTAGTTTGATGCTATGTTTTACATATTGGTTGGCTGAAGAAAATATATTATAAAGTGATTCTTAACTACGTATAGTACTTAAAAGTGAATATTAAAAAGTATAATATATTAATATGTGAAAATCATTGTATAGACACCTATAAGGTACATTTATGTACTCAAGAATGAGAATGCTTATTTGCAGACCTGTGTAAAATGTTTACAGACATCTAACAAACCAAAGCCCAGAGAGCAGGAACCACTGGTCCTAAAGACCCAGAGATTTCACAATGGGCAATATCCACACAGCTGTACTCACTGAAGTTTTCAATCAGAAAGGACAATACCTATGCCATGCCTCCCTCCAAATTCTACCTCTGGGAGACCCCAAAAACAGGTTCAAGGTATACTCCATACCCAACAAAATTATCAAAGAAAATTATAGAAGACTACAGGAAACTAGTGTCTGGCTAGTTCATACTATTTCCCCTACTGGTTAATTCCTAACTTAACAGCAGGCCCTTAACAATGGCTGAGAAGATATGAACTACTTTAAAAACTCAAGGGAATCTGAAATTGTCAAAACAGCTACTAAAGCAATAAATACTTCAGAATCATCGCTCACGATGTAAGAGCATTATAACATTGAGTGTTACAAAAGTGAAAAGATGAAACCAGCAAGGGCCTTCTCTCAGTGCACCACCAAGAGGCAGTCAGCACTGAAAGTAGACTGGTTATCACATCAACAGTGATGGAAAAGCAATCAAAACAGACAGCCAACTGAACCAGAAACAAATACAGAGCAAAAGGAACAGTACATTAAAAAATGCTTACCAGTTTGAAGTCTTGAATGCTACAGATGAAATACGGTGTGTTTGGCCTCCGACTCTCGATATACACACAGTCTTTAAAAGAAAAGGAAATTTTAAAACAATGGCATTTACCTTTATGGGTACAAAGAATCCATAAAACCATTGCATAGGTAAATAAATGATATAGCAATACCCTTCACAATATTTTTTAAAAATCTTTCCAAAGACATTATACTACAAATAACTTGAAGCTAAAGGAAAATACTAATTTGAATCTTGTTGAGCAGTTTTCTGATAATTTTCTAGTTTTTTTTTTTTTGGTACCGGGATCGAACTCAGGTCCTTGTGCTTGCGAGGCAGGCCACCAAACCGCTGTGCTAAATCCCTGGCCCAGTTTTCTGATAATTTTAAAGAACCTGATAAAATTTGAATAATCCCACCCTCAGGGGAAGGCCAATCCCTCAGGACTATTAAGTCCAGATGAAGAAATTTAGATAAAAGAATTACTTGCTCAAGATTACAGATAAGATAAAATAAGTAATGACTTCTTCAAATAGATGCTCTCCATGTCGTCACAAAGAGATATGGCTTCGCCAACTGCTAATTTATTTTTAACTAAAATAAGATTATGCAAAGATGACTAGTTTGATTATGTTTTTAAAAGGACCTTTTAACCTAAACCAAAAAAGAAAACCAATCTCTTCATTAACCTAAACATATTTTATTTTTTAATTGTGAAGAAAACCAAGGCAGCCAATCACAGAATGAAATAAAACAAATTATATTTTCTTCTGGGAAGAACAATGCTTTCTTAAATTGCATTTGATATAGCAGTAGTTGGGCAATTATTATTGATATTCTCAAAAGCTAGAGTCTAAAAGGTTGCTTTTTTTAAATATCATGCTAAGATACCCACAAAAAGGTGGGGAAGGCAGGCTGAGGCTATAGCTCAGTGGTAGAACATTTGCCCAGTTGTAAGAGGCCCTGCCTTCCATCACTAATTCTACATTGCCCACTTCCCCTAAGCAAAGCAATGTCAATAGAAAGGTAAAACTTCAGGTAGCCCGGTGTAGTGGCGCATGCCTGTAATCCCAGCACTTGGGAGGCTGAGGCAGGAGGATTGCTGTGAGATGGAGACCAGCCTGGGCTACATAGTGAGTTCCAGGTCAGTCTCAACTATATAGTAAAACCCTGTCTCAAAAAAAAGAAAAGAAAAGAAAGGTAAAACTCCACATTGCAACTGATGATCATCATAAAGCTTAGGATAAGAATGTCCACATATTATTTATTGAAAAGTAAAAATATCCTCAATCAACCAAACCTTCTGAAAATGATTTTCATCTTATTCTTTTTCCTGACTCTTCAGAATGGATGTGCCTAAGACTAACTCGAATTCTTGACAACACAAGCAAATTATTCTACTGTTTCAACTGTTATATGTGTTAAGAGCCAAGAAAGAGAAAGGAGAAGGATTTGGGACAGACCAGTCCCCATAACAAGCACTAGCAGACCCACTAAAACTGTGATTAGGAAGAAAGTCCTAACTGAATGGCACATCCTTCAGGAAAATACTCTGCAGGACACTGGGTTCTTTATATCCTACAACCACACAAGATAAACAAGAAGTATAAATGTAGAAAGTCTCCAACTAGTATCTTACTTAGATGTGGACTCAATGGAGATTCAATCCCTGAATCTATGCACGGCAGCAGTCAGAAATGTGTTATTAAAGGCCAGGGATTTAGCTCAGTGGATTCGCCACCTGCCTCATAATCACAAGGTCTGGAGCTCGATCCCCAGTACTCAAAAAAAAAAAAAAGAAAGAAAGAAAAGAAAAGAAGAAAAAAGAAATGAGCTATTAACTGAGCTTTTTAAGTTATTCCAGGGTCCTAGATGTTAAATAAATGCTGCTTGAAAATCTAGGTAGCATCCATTTAACAACTAGTCATCTTAAACAAGCTAGAGATCATCCTATCAAAATGGCTACTTTGTTTATATTCCATATCCTATGTTTAAGTAAAAACAGAATAAACCAAATATCCTAGATTAAAACTATTATCTCCACTTTAGAAATGACCCAAAGTCTTAATTCTGTGTTCTAGTCCCTTCTGTACTCACTTCCTATATTTCAAACCTCTAGACATCATTTATATACTAATCTCACTCAACCAGAACACAAATGTAGAACAGAACATTCTACATGCATCTGTCTATCACCTCCTATAGAAAAACAATTGTTACTTTCTTTCATGACACAAGACTATCACAGCCTATTATTTACTGACATAAAAATAAATAGATCATTTCCTAACTAATGACTTTCACTCTTGTAAAGTTCAAGTAACTAAAAGAAAAAGTGTTTGCAAACCAAGATCTGGTCCCAAACCTACATGCTATTCATTCCCTTCATAGGTCAAATTCTCTAAAAAAAAAAGTACCAGTTCTTCTACCCCATCTCTGCCAAGTCCTTTCAACCCATCAGCTCCTGATCATACTAATCTCATAATTAATTCTACGTTAGCAGCAGAGGGAATGAATTCTCACGGCTCCTCTGCAAAGAAATGCCAACAGCTCTATTTTTTTATACAACATTAGCAATTTACATTCCGTTTCTTCAGTTTTTGGCAATCAGATGGTCTGCACTGTCCAGATTACCATCAATCTTGGGAGTTCAGAGAACTGTACTCACTTCTACATTCCCTGGACCCCCCAAGGACATCAGTGTTGGTAAAACAAGTTAGAGCTGAGTTCAAAAATAGATGCTTGGTGAGCACTACATACAAATCTTGTTTTTTTTAGATAGGCAAAAGCTTTGAGTAATTTTTTAGAATCATCAGAAACACTTTTACTACAAACCTTTTAACTCTAAGACATAAAGCAACTATTACCTCATACATTAAAAGAACTTCCGGAAAAGGAGAGAAAAGCTATGCTCTTTTACCTTCTACTACAAAGTTACAGACAGGAAAAAAACGATTAACTGTAAATACTCCAGGGTGTGGCTGCTAGAGAAGGGAAGGAGAGGAAAATGCTGGCATGTCACAATAGCCTCTAGAGTCTGTTTGCCTCAGCTTTTCTAAGCAGCTGGGCTGAGGGATGCTGCCTCAAGGAATAAATCAGTGTAAAGAGCAGATTTTATCTCATGTGTGGAATTACAGTGGCTACTTATTAAGGACTAGTCCCAGATAAATAGCTATTTTTTCCTTTAAAGACATTTCCATGGATGGGGTGTGACGGTGCACACTGGTAATCCCAGCACCTGGGGAGGCTGAGGCAGAAGGATTCCTGTGAGTTTGAGACCAGCCTGAGCTATAGAGTGAGTTCCAGGTCAGTCTCAACTACATAGTGAGACCCTGTCTCAAAAAAAAAAAAGACATTACCATGGAAACCCAAACTGTCAAAAGTGGTTTCATATATGAGATCCCAATGCACTAGAATAGTAATCTGTAAAACAAGTGGTTGTGTCAAGCAACCTCTATCCATACTCTGAAACATATGAAATCGTCAGATCACCATACTACAAAATTAAGTGACAAAATTTAGAGTTTATTTGACATAAAGTAACAAATCACAGATAAGATCAGCAATAGTATGAACTAAAATTGTTCAAGTCACAAAGTTATCATGAGGGAAGGGAATACACTGTTTTGACTTGATTTGTCTAATTCACTTTAAAATAAAAGCATTAAAAATTACTGAAGAGACCCTGTGCTTTGAGCAGCCTGTGAACAAAGTCATCCTCGTTTCTTCCCCCAAAAAAAAATTACTGAAGAGAGCCAGGCATGGTGGCGCATGCCACTAATCCCAGCAATAGGGAGGCTGAGGCAGGAGGATTCCTGTGTGTTTGAGCAACCCGGGA